TGATACTGTAAACGTTTTATCTCACATACAAAATCCGCGGCACTGACGATATGACGAGGCGCGAAAAATAAAAAAACAAATTGTTTCTAAGTTCTATCGTGTAAATATTACTTCGGCTGCTAGAAGTGAACTGGAACGTATGTTTAGAGCCACACAGTTGTAGTAGCGTTTCAGCAACATCATTATCAACAATGTAGATTACCAATTCTGTGATAATGTACATTGTAAAGTTCAAGGCGAATTCACGCTAAAGTTAGGGTTATTTCCATTGCAAACAATCAATTATTAAAAATGTATCCAACGACGAAACTAGTTCGGAACAGGTAACTTGGGTAGCTTCTATCAAGGTTGTACGAGCCCTTAAATAAAAATATGACCAAGCGTCGAAATTTGAGGAGACACTGTGCAAAATTTTGATTTTATTTATGAAAAAATACAGGCGCAGTAACGAGAGAATTTTATAACGTCGTATAATTGTTGATAAATATTTTAAATCGCGATAAAAAGTAAAAATTACAGGATCTGTATACAATGTGAACAATTGCAAATCTTATAAAGAAGTGGCAGAACCAATATTCGGAATTATTCGTTGAAAATTGCAAAAATTGCAAAAATTGCAAAAATTGTAAAAATGCACGACGAACAATTTTCTAAACCTTACTCCTCTCTAAATATAATTTGTCCAAAAGTTAATCGTTTGAAATATTGAAACAGATTTTTAACTATTACATGTCTTAAAATTTCTTTCGGCTCGTACGACCTCAAGTCGAGAGAACTTATACTAATTCTTCATTTAGTCTCTCTCTCTCTCTCCTATCGCGTTCATTTTGTTCGTTCTTACCTTGCATTGTTGCAATATTTACATAGCGAATTTAAATAATGAATATGCAAGGTAAACAGTTTGAAATTTCCCAGGCAGATAAAGTAATCGGAAGTTTGTAGAACGGAATCATTGACTGGTAAAGTCCGTCGAAATAGTATGGTCGTTCTTAACGGAAAGCAAGAAAGTTGTGGCCGACAGTACGCGCACATTATATTTAACGAGACGTCGTATGCTCGATACGATAGGGACGGCCTGTGTGAACGCGAGTGCAAAATGCGACATGTACAGAGAAATATACGCGGTGGTCGCTGACCCTCGAGTCGCGTTCTACGCTCTTGTATAATAAACCGAATTCGATCGGACAACGAACGGCAACCTCTTCCTCTGGCCGAGCTACTCCACGTAGCTGTGTGCCGTCGTTTTTCGCTCGAACCTTCTCTGTCAATGATGATCCGTCTCGACTTATCGACACGTTTAAAATAAATGAAAAATTCGCGGCGAAGTTTAAGTACGTCGGTCGTCGGCTCGGCTCGCGATCCTCGATAATTAAACCGCAACAGATGACGACGACGGGTCATGCGTGCATTTTTTATGTACCGCGACCGTAGGATCGATAGTATCATTGACTTCGCGTCGTCCATACGAATTAAAACGTCTCTTTACGTCACACGACTCGTTCGATCGGTCGCAGAGGCGTGATCTTCCGTTGAAATTCGATTGGACATACTTTTTTCCCGCTAGAGCGTCTCGCGTATTAATTAAAATCATCTGGAGGGAACGTTAATTTATAAAAAGCGCCGGAGATAAGATCGGGTTAACGTTTAACGTCCTTGCGGAGGCGAATCGCGTGCCAGGGGTCACCGATATCGGAATCGGGGATTGATTCGATCGCTGGTGGACGATGCGAAGAATTCGCGGGGTGTGCGATAGGCGTAATCGCGATCACGACATAATTTTCGCGATGCACCGCGATACCCGCGACAAAAATAACGTTTGCCCGTGAAACCGGCGTTAATTCATATAGCGAGAGTTCGCGTGCTCGGAATGAATGAAAGAGGGTTCGAGTAAATATAGTCGATGGAGCTTAGAATTAGAACGACGTTCGAGCCAACGTGTGTTTTTACCGCCGGCTCCTTCTTCTTCCGTCCGAGCGTTCGGATTCTTGGCCCGAGGGAAAGTCATCGTATCGCGGGTAATCCGACTCACGCCCGATGCAACTTTCTCGATCTTCGGACGCGTCCAACCGTCCAATCGTCACCGAGGTCTCCGAATATTCGAGACGAGAATTCCGTTCGACTCTTCTTCCACCCGATCGTGGAAACGCGTGCCTCGAAATTTCACCCGAACGATCGTCGTCGAGCCGATCGATCGAGAATTCGAGTCACGATGCGTCCCGTCAAATTCGTCGTTTGATCACCGGAGCGTCGCTTATCAGTTTTCCGTGGTACACTGTAACAGATAATGCGGAGTAAGCCTCTTCGTTTGCAAGACATAAAATATGTACATTATCTAATCTGGTGAAAAGGTAATTTGATTTTTCTCTGCTCGTCTGTCGCTGACATTGCGCTACTGCACTTTTATCGCTGATTACAGTCGACTCGCGTAGCAATTGTCTATTATGATAATGGCCGGCAATTTAGATGCGAGATGAAAGAGCGTTAGAATGGTATGAGGAGATACGAACGGACTGGCATCGAACGATTTTCGTTCGACGCGATCGGTACGGATCGTTCGTGTTCCTTGATAGTTCGGAACGTCCTCTTAATAGATTTCCAGCACCTTTTCCTTCGTTAGCCGTCGTTAATTGGCACAAAATAGGTATCGTGCGACGTGACTCGACGTCCTCCCGGAGTCCCGGTGCGCTTTGAGGAAAACTCGAGCGACAAAATCGATTATTACGTGCGTTAATTATCGACGATTAAATGGAAACCGATCGATCGATCGTCGTCGGAACGCACTTACACCTCACTGATTGCAGCGACATTACTATTATTATTATTATTATTTGCCTGCTTCCTTCGATCTTGACGACCTTCTTCTACATCTCTTTCGGCAAGCGACAACGGAGAGAATTCGAATCGATCTCAATCATTTTCATATCGTCCGAAATAGAAACGCACTCGCAACGCGTTTTCTTAGTAACGATTTCGAAATCGATGTTGTATCGAGAAAATCGAGAGTGACTAAAAACTGATCGACAACGTTTCTTTTTCGATCGTGAAAGAATTTTTAATTCGGACTCCTCGTGGACATGCAACAAGGAGAATATTTAGTCACTATTACGTATTGACGAGTGAATCATCTCTCTCTCCTCTCCGCGTTCGTTGTACCGCATTCAATCCTGGAATTCTATGTTTCAATAGGATCCAACGTTTCACTAGCATTCGCGTAATACGGTTCAACGTTATGCAGATTTTCATTCCCATATTAAATACATGCTTCGTACCACCGTGAAACCGTACTCACTTAAAGCTGGCCAGTAATTTCCAAAACGTTTCACGGTTACGTTAAACGAATTACGATTACGAAACCTGTAGACCGACCACTGATTTCGAAAAAGTTCGCGCGAACTTCGTTCGTAAAGTGGTTTGAAATCGTTAGAGGGTAGGATAATACGATCGAAGCCGCCGGTGTCAGCCGTGAGATAATGGGAGCCTCGGCCGGGCTTGAACGGAGGGAAACGCGTCCGTTGTTTTCCGTCGAATTTAATGTGTCATTCGAAGTTCGTTAGTCGTAGACGTTAATCGATACGGGCGCGACACGTGCCTTTGTGTACGTACCTACGTCGTCGTTTCAGTTTCACGGTTGAAACGTACGGTCCAGTTCTGTCGCACGCGTTTCGAACTGCGACGCGACCGATAGTTTTCTATGAGTCTGCTTTTTGTTTGCAAAACCTACTGCCGTTTAAATCGCCCCCTTTTGTTCGAAAGTTGCCGGCCGATTTCATGACGAACGCAGGGACGTTGACGCTCGTTAAATCCTGTTCGACCAACTCCTTCACGCGTTCATCTTTCTTTCACATACGCGAAATGTCTGTATATTAGAGCATCTCGATCGAGCTTAAGGATGTATTGGCTATACAGTCAATTCCAAAAGTTTATGCACTTTAGAAACGCATTTTTTAAAAAGAAATCAGACGTTGGAAGAACATTGCTAATAA